CGGTGGGAGCGACGCGGGGGTCAGCTCTCCAAGTAGACAACGTCGTAGATTCATATTGTTGTGCATGGACATCCTGGACGTTGGAGAATATTGGTCAAATCATCAAATGAAATGGCACAATATGACCATAAACTGTTCCAAATGCATTGATATACGCTTTAACATCAACTTGCTAAATATTGATCTCTGCAAATACCTGAAATATGCATTAGATGGCCAACATTGTCCAAAAACCAAATGGTTCAGTTTTGACATATTAGTAGATAGAAATTCAAAGGCTTGATACTTGCACCTGCATTTGCTAGAATCCTTCAGAATCAGTGCCTCTGTATAAATACAAGCTGTGCAAATTCCTGTAATGTTGTAATTATAGATAAATGCCTTTCCCCAGTTACATGTTGATTTATTTCTCCCGGAACCCAAGCAAGCCTCTAAATTAGAATAGGTTTAAAGCAACCCCAGTCACCTCTACAGCGGACTAAAGCAACAATCTTCGGTTTTCTTCTATCTTTATTTTACTTATGTGTAAGAGTTCAGACAGCAAGACATATAGAGAGCTATGCTGGGATTGCCAGATTAAGTTACAAAACGGAGCAAAGCAGAAACCAGGAATGCACCGCTCCATGGCCCATTCAGTCACTCACTCAAAACCACAAAAAAGGATCCCCCTTACACTACATCAGCCATTTCCCTTTAGTCCGCTGACTCACCCCTTCCACAATGGTTGCCATTGCTGTAAGAAGATGCACACCAGTAGGGTGAGACTGATAGATCAGCTTATCTTTAACCAAGATCTTATGTCTAGTAAACCATAGGTGCCCAGTGAGCACCGAGCAGTGTCAAAACCAAATCACAATATTCAAACTATAATGTCATTATATAAATAGATCTCCTTATGGACTGTGTTCTCCTAACAGTGCAAACAAATTCAAAATCTAGCTATCGGGAAATAAGTGTTGGCTAAAAGAAAGAAGCACATTTAGTTACCATGGAAATGTGCAAGTGCTAGTGAGGCTTAAAACTGGGTTCCTGAACTTGTGCACAACTGTGGACTAAACTCTTCTTCGCCTTTTTCATGGAAGGCCTAGTGCAAAATTAGTGATACATCTAAGGAGATTCGACGACACCAACTTCACATGAGTTTGGCAAACTGGGATTGAAAAATCGTACTAAGGAGCCTCCATCGGTCTGATCATGCTTATAATATATTGTTGATTACACATATATATTCTTTAAATCTCAAGTAAGGTATTTTGTGAAATATGCATGTTTGCCAATTTTATAGCACTAGCATACAGTTAATTCACCAGTTCGTCTAATGCCTAACATCCTCCTTTTGTTTTTGTGCTTCAGTCCTTTACGCGTTCTTTGGGCTGCGACTGCTTTACATTGCTTGGAGATCAGATTCTAGGGCGTCACAGAACAAGGAAATAGAAGAAGTATGTGCATTTTCTTACATGGTTCTTCACCTCTACAGCTAAGAATTAGCTTAGTCTTGTTTGTTTACCACATAAACTGCTAATCATAAAACTCTTCCTTTTGTGTCAATAGCGGTTTTAGCATCAACTGGATATGTGTATCATGCATCCCTACTGGCTCGAACCTGTTCTTTTAATTTTTTTGGTGTGCTAATTTAAACACCTTATAATTTTTGATCGCTTGAAATATGCAGGTACAGGAAAAGCTGGAAGCAGGTCAAGGGAAATCAACATTTAGACGTGTCTTCTCAAGGTTATGTACTCCTATTTTCTTGGAGGTATATTTCCTGTCCTTTTCTCATTTATGATTTAATGATTCTTTCTTGATAACTATGTTTTCTACCATCTCATTTGAGATGTAATTATATAGGATTGAGAAATTTTACAACTCCCTTTTTAGTCTTGTTGCATAGTATATTTCTGTTCACGCCAACTGTGCATATACAATGCTTGATAAAATATACCTTCAGTGACGCTGCAACGAGTGTGATATGTATCAACGGCTTGATGTATGACTTCTTTTTTATGATCCAGTCATTTGTGTTGACCTTCCTGGCTGAGTGGGGCGACCGAAGTCAGATAGCCACAATTGCAGTATGACTTATTTCCCTTCCACAATCAAATTCTCAATTTGTCTGTGGTCAAGCAAAAATCCATTTTAACCGGTAGCATGTTTTGAAATGCAGCTGGCTACGCACAAGAATGCTGTAGGTGTTGCCATTGGAGCAACCTTGGGGCACACCATCTGCACATCATTCGCAGTGGTGGGCGGCAGTATGCTTGCGTCGAGGATATCGCAAGGCACCGTAGCCACCATTGGAGGCCTCCTCTTCCTTGGCTTCTCTGTATCATCATACTTCTACCCACCATTGTAATCACACCCTGTGCTTCCTGCATCATTTTTTTTTTCATTTGTTGGTAAGATCACACTCCGTAAGCCCCGTCGCCTCATCTTACTTAGCAGCATGTGATGCCTGGCATACAGTTTTTCGTTGCACCACGACACTCTGATATATGTATGGAGTAGGGATATGATCACTGCTAATATATACAAGTTGACCCGATTCCAAGAAATGGGTATCCTGAGCCCTGATTGCTTTGTCAATTCTGACAGCATTTCTTGGACATGACCACTGTAAAATATTGATGTTACATCTAGCTAAACTCTTAACCAACTAGCGGTAATGGCCAGCCGGCTTGGCTAGTAGTTGAACCACCAGCTCCACCGGCTGATGATCTTGCCGACGTACTGGTGGTCGTGTTTGGTGTAGTGGCACATGGTGGGGAAGATGCCGAGGATGTGCTTGCAGTCTCTGAGCAGCACGTCTCCGATGAGCTTCTTCTCCCGGTGCTGCCACGGCGCGGCCTTGGTGGCGTGCCTCCCGGTGACGAGGAACATCTGGCCATCCTGGAACAGGTAGCGGCACCCGCCGGCGTTGACGGCGCAGAGCTTGGCGTAGGGCTCGCTGCTGTTGAAGACGACCACGTCCTGGAGGAAGTTGCCCATGTAGCCCCACTTGCAGAGGATGGCGTAGTGGTCGGTCTGGGGCTGGAAGAAGGCGTGCTGCGGCTTGTAGGGGTCCAGGATGAAGTAGTGGAAGTACTCCCAGTTGCCGGCGAAGGCGGCGCGGCAGCTCAGGATCATCTGCCCGCCGGTCATGGTGCTCAGCATCCCCACCGTGTGGTTCTGCTCCGGCGACGCCACCGCCACCTTGGGCCCCGCCGCGTGCGGGGACAGCATGCCCACGAAGATGACGATGGATGGGATCGCCACGAACACGAACGGGATGGAGATGATGGTCAGCCGCCGTAGCAGGTCCTTCTTCTTGTCCTCCATCAATCAAATCAGTCTCCTAGCTAATTTACTATTGTTAGGTCTCCTCTTTTTTCTCCTGCCTTCTTGATTAGTAACTCCTCTGGGTGATTGTGTGGCTGACGAGGTGCTGCGAAATATAGGGACTGCCCTGCAGAACAGAACAACGTGCGAACGTGATGCATGTGTCGATCTTCGTAGGCATGGCGCTTATATTTAGAAGAGGGGGGCCTATTATTAGGCCATTTGTGGAATTGTGGTTGACAAGAATGATTTTTTGCTCTAGTTGGACATTCAATGTTTCGACCAGAAGATCTAAAAGAAAACACAAACAAGTTTATTTGTTTGATTCATGACCAACCGGCAACCTTAAACAGCATGCTCTGCGTTCCAAAACAGTTGTTGCTTGTTTCAAAAATAAAAAAAAAAGTTCTTGAAGATTGCTTGCGACATCGATTACATCTTGCGAGGTTCCATGTACGGAGATATGTCAAAAACTGATGCAAGAGCTTGAGGCATATCTATTTGCAACGCGTACCTGCAAATTGGATTTGGCCGGAGTGGATCACCGCGACGGCCGATCGCTCTGCTCGGTTTGTATGTCTCGCCGGTCGCTTGTGCAGAGGAGGATTGGGACGGGGGCGAGGAGCAAAGGAAGAAATGGAGAACGGAGGCGAACCGGGAAAAGGGAGATCGTTGCTGGCGTTGTTTCCAGGGCGAGAGAGGAAGGGAAAGGTTTCTCAAGGAAAAGCGTGCATGAAAGATAAATGGTGCCTATATATATGTGTTGGTAGCCTTGCTGCGACGTAAGCACCACATTTTTTTGGGCGATGCGAATTTATCCTTAAGACGTTTTTATGGGTGTGCCCAGGGCACATCTAATTATTGCTCATCTAAGTGGCACAAATCAAACATAAAAAGAAAAAGGAAAGAAAAAGAAGAAAATATCTGCACGAATCTCCGCTGAAAATCAATATCATATGACTTAGATATGCAATACTTAGGATACATTTAGATGTGCTTTAGCAAAATTGATTTTTTTTCTTTTCAAAATCAATATATGGGATAATTGCTCTTGCATTGTAGTGCACTACACGGAGAATCTGTTTGGTTAGAGCTTCTCTGATGCTCCTTTCCATTTTTTAAATTTTTCGTGAGAGAACTTTCGGTATATTTCATCATGCCATGGCAGTGCAAAAAACACATCTATAACAAAAATTATATCCATGTCCATAGACCACCTAGCGACGACTACAAGCACTGGAGCGAGCTGAAGGTGTGCTGCCGTCATCACCTCTTCGTCATTGGAGCCGGGCCAAACTTGTGGTGGTAGACAGTTAGGAACTCGTCATGCTAAGGCCCCGCAGGACCAGTGCACCAGAACAGTAATTGTCGCTGATGAAGTCAAGTATAGATTGAAAGAATCCAACATGTAGACACACGGATGAAGACCAAGCCCAAGCGGATCCACCGAAGAACAACATCGACCGGATCCTACGAGATCTACCAGAGACACACCTACACACACCCTCAGATGACGCTAGACGCATCACTGGAATGGGCGCCAGACATGGAGGACCTCATTCCATCTTCAGGAAGCCGTCGCCGCCTCCTCTTCAAAAAGGAACTTAGGGCTCCTCCGCCTCCCGTTGGCGCTGCCGCCGGCCGGTCTCGTCTCCGGTGCCCCTAGGTGAAGGAAATATGCCCTAGAGGCAGTAATAACGTTGTTATTTATATTTCCTTATATCATGATAAATGTTTATTATTCATGCTAGAGTTGTATTAACCAGAAACTTGATACATGTGTGAATACATAGATAAAACACAGTGTCCCTAGTATGCCTCTACTAGACTAGCTCGCTAATCAAAGATGGTTAAGTTTCCTAACCATGGACATGTGTTGTCATTTGATGAACGAGATCACATCATAAGGAGAACGATGTGATGGACAAGACCCATCCGTTAGCTTAGCATAACAATCATTAAGTTTTATTGATATTGCTTTCTTCATGACTTATACATATTCCTTTGACTATGAGATTATGCAACTCCCGGATACCAGAGGAATACCTTGTGTGCTATCAAACGTCACAACGTAACTGGGTGATTATAAAGATGCTCTACAGGTATCTCCGAAGGTGTTTGTTGGGTTGGCATAGATCGAGATTAGGATTTGTCACTCCGAGTTTCGGAGAGGTATCTCTGGGCCCTCACAGTAATGCACATCATGATAAGCCTTGCAAGAAATGTGACTAATGAGTTAGTTACAGGATGATGCACTACGAAACGAGTAACGAGACTTGCTGGTAACGAGATTGAACTAGGTATGAAGATACTGACGATCGAATCTCGGGCAAGTAACATACCGATGACAAAGGGAATGGCGTATGTTGTCATTACAGTTTGACCGATAAAGATCTTCATAGAATATGTGGGAACCAATATGAGCATCCAGGTTCCGTTGTTGGTTATTGAGCAGAGAGGTGTCTCGGTCATGTCTACATAGTTCTCGAACCCGTAGGGTCCGCATGCTTAACGTTCGATGATGATTTATATTATGAGTTATGTGTTTTGGTGACCGAAGATGGTTCGAAGTCCCGGATGAGATCACGAACATGACAAGGAGTCTCAAAATGGTCGAGAGGTAAAGATTGATATATTGGACGATAGTATTCAGACACCGGAAGTGTTTCAGAATGTATCGGG